AAAAAAAAAAAAAAAAGTTTCAAGATCTATCCTGAAATACCGTGCTGTTAGTGATAGGATAATATCCATACACACAAGGAAGTGTTAATACAGCTATTACTCAAATTTACGTACCAACCATCAAAGCCAAAGACGAGGAAATTGGAGATTTTTACCAACTTCTGCTATCTGAAGTTGACCAAACATGCAATCAAGATGTTGATTATTACTGGTGATTGGAATGTGAAGGTTGGAAATGAAGAATCATTAGTAGTTGGAAAATATGGCCTTGGTGATAGAAGATATGATACTAGAGATCATGTGATAGAATTTTGCATGACCAATAACTTACTCATTGAAAATATCTTTTTTGAACAACATAAACTACAGCTGTACATGGGAACCTCACCAGATGGAATACACAGGAGTCAGACCAACTATATCTGTGGAAAGAAGTGATAGAGAAGCTCAGTATCTTCAGCCAAAACAAGCCTGGGAGGTGATGGTGGAACAGACCATCAGCTGCTCATATGCAAACTCCTATGAAGCTGAAGACAATTAAAACAAATTCACGAGAGCCAAAATATGACCATGATTATGTCCCATCTGAATTTAGAGACCATCTAAAGAAAAGGTTTTTGATGCACTGAACACCAGTGACCAAAAACCAGTTGAATTGTGGGATGACATCAAGAACACCATCTGTGAAGAAAGCAAAAGGTCATTAAAAAGACAGGAACTGAAGAAAAGACCAAATGGATGTCAGAAGAGATTCTGAAACTTCCTTTTGAACAGAGTATAGCTAAAGCAAAGGGAAGAAATGACAAGATAAAAGAGCTGGAGAGAAGATTTCAAAGAGCAGTTCAAGAAGACAAAGTCAGTTATTATAATGAAATGTGCAAAGACCTGGAGTTAGAAAACCAAAAGGGAAGAACACGTTCGGCATTTCTTAAGCTGAAAGAAATGAAGAAAAAAAAATTCAAGCCTTGAGTTGCAATATTGAAAAATTCTATGGGCAAAATATTGAACGAGGCAGGAATCATGAAAAGATGGAAGGAATACACAGTCATTGTACCCAAAACAATTGGTTGATGTTCATCTATTTCAGGAGGTGGCATCTGATCAAGAATCAATGGTATTGAAGGAAGACATCGATGCTGCACTGAAGGAATTGATGAAGAACAAGGCTCCAGGAATTGACAGAATACCCATTGAGATGTTTCAGCAAATGGATGCTGCATTGGAGGCACTTACTCCTCTATGCCAATTGACTGGAAGAGGTCTATATTTGTACCCATTCCAAAGGTGACCTCAGCAAATGTGGAAACTATCAAACAATATCATTAATATCACACACAAGTAAAATTTTGCTGAAGATAATTTAAAAATGGTTGCAGCAGTATATTGACAGAGAACTTCCAGAAATGCAAGCTGGATTCAGAAGAGGACGTGGAATGAGATACACCATTGTTAATGTCAGATTGATCTTGGCTAAAAGCAAGGAATACCAGAAAGATGTTTACTTGTATTTCATTTACTATGCAAAAGCATTCAGCTGTGTGCATCATAACAAATGATAGATGACATTGAGAAGAACGGGAATTTCCGAGCAGTTAAATCATGCTTATGAGGAACGTGTACATAGACCAGGAGGCTGTTGTTCAAACAGAACAAGGGGATACTGCATGGTTTAAAATCAGGAAGGGAGTGTGTCTAGGTTGTATCCTTTCACCATACTTATTTAATCTGTAAGCTGAGCAAAAAAATTTGGGAAGCTGGACTGTATGAAGAAGAATGTGGCATCAGAATTGGAGCAAGACTCATTAAGAACCTGTGATACGCAGATGACATAACCTTGCTTGCTGAAAGTGAAGATGACTTGAAGCACTTACTGATGAAGATTAATGACTACCGTCTGCAGTATGGATTACACCTCAACATAAAGAAAGCAAAAGCCCTCACAGCTAGACCAATAAATTGCATCACGATAAACGGAGAACAGATTCAAGTTGTCAAAGATTCCATGTTCTTTGAATCCACAATCAACAACAATGGAAACATCAGCCAAGAAATCAAACAACATATTGCACTGGGCAAATCTGCTGCAAAAGACCTCTTTAAAGTGCTGAAGAGC